CATATAAATGCTATAAGATTGAAGAAAACATTCAAACCAAAAAAAAAAAAAAAAATAAAATAAAAAAAAAAAAAAAAAAAATAGAATAAAATAAAATATAAAAAAAAAATAAACAAAAATTAAGGTACAATTTTTTAAATCTTAAAAATATAATATTTAAAAATTAAAAGATGGAAATATTAAATAATAATTACTAAAATTTATATTTGTATGTATTTCAATTTAAATATATATTAATACATACTTTAACTAATTATATAAATCTTATTATGTGTCAATTTATGTAAAATATTACAATTTTTTTTTTTTTTTTTTTTTTTTTTTGATGTGAAAATATTTTTCCAAATAAAAAAAAGTAAATAATATACATATTTCTTTGTAGTTTTTTTTTTTTTTTTTATTAAATAAAAATATATTTCATTTTGTTTTAAGAAAAAAAAAAAAATGGCTGATGGTGAATACAGTTTCTCCTTAACAACTTTTAGTCCAACTGGTAAACTAGTACAAATTGAATATGCATTAAATAGAGTATCTAATAGTTCTCCAGCTTTAGGTAATACTTTTAATTAATTTTATCATTTAATTTTATCATTTAATTTTATTTTTTATTTTTTTATTATTTTTTTATTATTTTAAAAAGGTATTCGAGCAAAAAATGGAGTAGTAATTGCTACAGAGAAAAAAAACCCAAATGAATTAATAGAAGAAAATAGTATATCTAAAATTCAACAAATTAGTGAACATATAGGAATTGTATATTCAGGTATGCCTGGAGATTTTCGTGTTTTATTAAAAAAAGCAAGAAAAGAAGCAATTAGATATTCTTTACAATATGGAAATGAAATATTAGTAAAAGAATTAGTAAAAGAAATTGCATCAATTGTGCAAGAATTTACACAAACAGGTGGAGTAAGACCTTTTGGGTTATCTTTATTAATATGTGGTGCTGATGCACATGGTAATCATTTATATCAAATTGATCCTTCTGGTTGTTATTTTAATTGGAAAGCAACGTGCATAGGAAAGGATTATCAAAACAATATTTCGTTTTTAGAAAAAAGATATAATAATGATATTGAAATAGAAGATGCTATTCATACAGCCATTTTAACTTTAAAAGAAAGCTATGAAGGAGTTATGAATGAAAAAAATATTGAAATAGGTGTAGCCTATAATAACAAGCCTTTTAAAATTCTAAAACCAAATGAAATTAAAGATTACTTAATAGAAATAGAATAAATGTTATTAAAAAAAAATATATATGTATTTTAGATTTTACAACAATAGAATAATTAAATAAATATAATAATATGTAGAAACTTAATAAAAAAAAGAAAAGAGGAATACCTTTAAATAATACACAAAAATAAAAAGTATACATAGTATATTTTAAATATAATTATAAATATTTATGTATAAATTTAATATAAAAAATGTAAAGAAGAAACAAAAGTAAATAAACATAAATGAAAAAATAAAGAGCAAATTTATAATTACCATAAATTTATAATATATATATATATATATATATATATATATATATATATATATATATATAATAAAAATAAATAATTATAAAGTAGTATGGCATTTTTATTATATATAATATATGAAAACCTAATAAAATGATATATTAGTATAAATTATAAATAATCCATAACCACATCATAATGAAAAAGATAGAATAATTTTATATATATATATATATATATATAATGAAAAAAAAAAAAAAAAAAAAAAACTAAAAAAATATATAAAACCTTTGTGTAAAAATCTTAAAATATTTTTTTTTAAAACTTAAAATTAAAAAA